CTCGGGGATGGTGTTACAATTACTGTATGGCGTAGAGTGCTGGGCGGTGTAACAATGTCACATTCAAAAGATGAGTGTGGTAGAGATGCACATGTTGCGTTGGATGTGTGGACATACTAGGAAGGACCGCGTGAGGAATGAGACAATCACACAAAGGGTGAGAGTAGCACCTATTGAAGACAAGATGCGGGAGTCGCGCCTACGGTGGTTTGGTCATGTGCGTAGAAGACTGAGTGATGCACCTGTCAGACGAGTTGAGATGTGTGGAGAAGAGACAGGGAAGAGAGGGAGAGGAAGACCCAAACAGACGTGGGTTAGGAGAGTTCGAAGTGATATGCTTCTTCTGGGGTTGGATGAGGGCAAGACTTTGGAAAAAACATGAATCTTTTTTCCCTTGTTTTTTATCCTTATATATAAGCATTATTTGTATCCTTTTTATTTTATCATTTTTATGTATATGCATCTCATTTTATATTGTCTTTTTATAATAGCTTATCTTTTTTATCTTCATTTTCTTTCTTTCCCTTTTGGTGGTGATATCATGTATCGATTCATGTTAGTTGACCCCAATATCTTTTGGGACTAAGGCTTGGATGTTGTTGTTGTTGTTGTTGGTGGTGGTGTTGTATTTGCTTATTTGTTTGTAGTTTCAGAAATTTTCTAACTTTATACAAAGTACTGGTTTGCTAATATGATCAGGGGTAGAGGGACAGCTCCTATATCATACTTCCCGGTGTATGTACGGTTGGCCCAACTAAGGAAGACAACTCAATAACTAATACAGGCAAAAAACAAATTGGTGATATTTTTGTAATTTAGGCGAAAAATCACGGCTTCCGCTAAATGAGCGATATTGTACTTTTAGTGAGCATCCAATCTATTTTATTGAGTATTAGGAGGCTAACAATGAGTATCACAATATCTGTTTCATATCTTCTAATTTTTGTTCTTTTTCTTATTTTTTCTTTTATAAAAACTTATTAAATTATATCCATAATCCACTCCTATTAATGTCAATATACGAATCTAATGTAATATGATACTTTTGAAATATGCATTGATATAACATTTTAAAAATGAGCATAATATTAGTACCAAATGAGCATACATAACTTACAAAGTGCACATGATATGAAAATCGTAAGGTTTGTTAGTTGAACATCATGACATTTGAATTGAGCATCAAACCTCATCTATTGAGATGAAAATCACGGTTTTTGTTAAATGAGCATTAATGAATTTTTAATGAGCATCAGACATATTCTATCGAGTATTAGGAGTATTAGGATTCCAATATTAAGCATCGTGAATTCCGCTTCATAACTTCTGATTCACTCTCTTTTGATTAATTTTCTTTTATAAAATCTTATTAAATTATATATCAATAATCAAGTCTTATGAATTTCAATATGCGAATCTAATATAATGTATATGACATTTTAAAATGAGCATACAACCAAAACCGAATGAATATACACGATTTACAAAATGAGCATAAAAAAATTCAAAAGCTCGTTTCAAATCTTCAATGTGCTCAAATGGTCATTAATGTTACATCAATGCACATTTACTTTTAACAATATACTCAATATCGTATAACACACAATTCATTTTTAATAACCTCCATGAGTACTCATTTTAAAACATTATATCACCACACATTTCATGTAAACATTATACTCATTTTAGTATAAGATAAAACTCATTCAAAAGTATTATTTGCAAATAGTCTTAGTATGATTAATTCTTTTACTCAACTATGAGTATATATATTTTATAATGAGAAATATTAAGAAAATTTATTTGTAATACGTAATTTTTATACAAATGCATCAAACAATGAAATAATTCACAATTCATCGAACAATTATAAAAAAAATTATCATTAGTTTGTCCTGAATGAAAGTTTGTAATTGCAAAAAGGATGCCAAGATGTTTGGGGAACTGAATTTTCGCTACAGTTGGGATAATAGAGTCTAGAAGCAATTTGTGGATGAATTTCACTTGCAAAAAGCATGTTTCTTGATCCTCTGTTTTCTTCGAGCGATTCCATGGCCACTGACAGATTTCTTATCTTCCAGAGCAGAATTTCGGAACTCTTATGTTAGTAAGCTGGCTCAACTTTGCTTGAAAACGATGAAATAAGCTCCTTAGAGCATCTTTAATGGGGAAGTGGATTGCATCCCATAAAATATGGACATGTCACTTATATAGACGGGCTATAGAGGTGACGTGGACACACATACAGTTAAAATCAAATTTGCACTCCAATGCAATAATGCATTTACGCTCCAAAGCAGTTAAAATAAAATAAAAAAACATATGCAAGGATTTAGGGAGTATCTCTTGGTCTACCTTTCCTCTCCCCGTTGATAATATGTAGATAGACGTAATAATCTTCCTACCACAAAAACAGTTGCAGATCAATTAAAATTGGACTCCAATTTGAAGCTTCAAGGTTTGAAGACAGGTAATTATTGGATTGATAATCCGTAGGTTAGTTTCCTACCTTGAAAGCTTCAAATTTTGAAGAATCAGACTCTAGTGATGAGGAACCCCTGTACCGCCCATTCCAAGATCGCAAATCAGGTCACAGTAGTCACAGTCGGTGAACGGAGCCACCGTCCTGTTGGACCTTCCCTGGATGGTAACCACCAGTCGCGAGTTCAAATCGCCGCAAATTGGCTAACGTTTGAGTTCCCCTGTCTCTCCATTGGAGACTCTGCAGCTGCCTCTCCAACCTGTGTTCTTGAATCGTCTGGCTGTCGTTCCACCCGCCGTTCCCAGGTGTTCACCGCCAAGCCTCTTCCTTCTCTGTGCCCGGTCGCCATAGCTAGCCGCCCGCCGTTTATGTAGCTACAGCTCCGCTGACCATGAAAATTGAACAACCGCAAGTTTAATATCCTTTTCATCTAATCCATCCAATTAATTAAACGCAGATATAGATCTAATTTGTGTTCACTCATAGTTCAATCAAAGGAACAAAATATAAAAAGTACTTCAAAGACCGGAGGAGTTTCAGGTAGATGCGAAGGAACCAAGAAAATCAATTACTTGCTGAGTCAGCGTGTGAGAAAGCCTCGCTGAAAGTCCACAGAGAAGTAGAAGGCGTGGGTTTTTTCCCGTTCCAGCTCATCAACACATGGCGTATTCACCGTTCCGTTGGAGACCTTTTTTTTTACTTCCCTTCCATATTTATTTACGTGGCTATGCATTTTGCAAAATAGACAGACCCAGTAAAGATGCTCTTAGCCATGGCAGTTACCGTCTTCACCAACGCCTTGTTCTCCAAATCATGTAGTTTATTACAAAAATACCCGGATGTAGAGTGAGCGCTGTACATCCGGGTGTACGGTATAATTTACGCCGGAGGGAGGGGTTGGCCTGACTGGGCGATGGCCCAGGGCAATTGTTTTTTTAAGGGTAATTCTATTTACAGTCCCCATTTTGCTACACACACACTCACATTTTATAATCCCATTTACGCCCTTAAATTAACTTAACATCACTCGCTCATTAACTAACGCCTCTAATGTCGTTCATTTCATCAACCGACCCAACCATGCCTATTCAGTTCATTAACGACACTCCATCTATTCAGCTCACGTCTGGAGTTTCCAGAAAAGGGAGAACTGAAGACCAGACCCCTTTCCCATTCTCCCGCAAGCCAGGTAGTCAGAAGGGCGCAACCAGAAGAGACGAAGCACAAGACGAGGTCTGTAATTAAGCTAGGTGCGGAGAGGAGAACAAGACGAGATCTGTAATTAAGCTAGACGCGTAAAGAGAAATGATCATTTGTATATTTGTTGACTCAGTAATCGCACTATTCACAAATTGATGGTTCTAAACAGTGATTTCTCTTAAAAGAAAAAAAGACTAATTTCCTGGGCAATGCTTTGTGAAGTGTTTCTTATTCTCATATTCCTTTTTTTAATTCTTTGCATACAAATTTATACAATGACAAATTGCTTAAAGATGCAGTAACATTCACTCATTGACTGCAAAATAGGAGTGCACATGCCCAGTAATCACACTTTTCACAAATTGATGGTTCTAAACAATGATTAATTCAGATTGATGTATGCTACAATTGTTTTGAGATAAATGTAGTGATGTATCAAATTATTAATGGCTTACAAGCAATATCCTCCTTGTTTTTACAATGAATCTGTACCTGCACATGTTATTTGTTTTCACGTTTAGGATCAGACGCTTCATTCTTCAGTCATCCAAGAATATGATGCATATATTTGACGAACCAAATTAAATTACCCTTTCCCATTGAAACAATTGCTTTTAGAGTTTGGGGGTGCTGCATACTTTAGATTATATATAGTTCGTGTTTAATCTGTATTAATTTTACCATTCAAAACTGGCTACTAGTTAAGGCCATAAAATAATCTGCCCCATAATATAACAAGCAATATTAATATAAACAAGGATGACACAAAGCTTTATTGTCCATAGTTTACGGTGTTGTAAACTTTTATAAACATTGTATGTTAATCGTTGTTGTCCATATATTTGCTTGATCATGCAGGAATGCTTGATGATATTGTACTAACCTCATGTGAAACTGGAGAAAAAAGTGGACTTTCTGCGTTTATTCTTTCCTTCCTGTCTTTTTGTGCTACAGAGCTTCCCAGACTGCTACTGCTTTTAGGGTTGCGAGGCTTGCAGTGTGCTTCCGATCTGCCATTTGCGTTTGTGGTTTGCGCGCTAGGATTCCTTAAATGGTCATTATTACGCGAAAGTGAGTCAATTAAACGATCGTTATGTAGCTGTAAGAGTATTTTAGATATTTGATTTATTTTTAATTATTTTTATTTAATTTAGTGGCTATATTTAGCAAAAAAGAGGCTGTGAATAGAACTTCCCTTTTTTTAATTATATACTCCGCATATAGTTTAAATTTATTTTTATAAATTGGCCCAGTGTGAAAATAAAACTGGCCCAGTGTAGAAATATTATGGCCCAAACAAAAAAAAGTCCAGCTCAGCAAGAGAAGTGCAGCGCCGCAGCGATCCAAATTCCAAACCAGCGGGCATCACCGGACACCGTATCAGTAATCACGCATAACTCATTCACGGATGACGGACCTGACTCACCGCGCACGCCTCAGCCAGTACCGCCGCCGGACGTCTTCGATTCTCCGTCTACTCGCCGACTAGCCGGAGACGCACTCTAAGTTGCTCGCTGACTCGCCGGAGAGTGCTTGACCGGCGACGCCTGTGTTCTTCTCTCTTGGACTCCAGAAGCCGGCAGCTTCTGCTTTTCGTCTCTTCAAGGTCGCTGCTTCAAGCAATCAAGCAGAGCCGCAGAGGTGGATTTTGTGCACTCAGCTCACCAAGACGGCAAAACACCAACGAAGGAGGAAGTCCCTGGCTTCTCCGGCTTCAGAGGTATTTTTTTATCCCTTCTAGCTTCTATGTTTTAATTTCTTTATTTGCTTATTTGTTTGCACTTTCAGAAATTTTCTAACTTTATACAAAGTAGTGGTTTGCTAATATGAATATATGATCATTATGATGTACAATTGATTTGTCATGGGTGAATGCCTAATGGACTAATTTGTAAATTTCTAAATGCTATAATTATTAACTTTTTTTTATATTATTGCCTTATTGGTTGGAATGGTCCGGCCATTGGGGATTACTGATTAGAAGTATTTGTTTAAACAAATGCTGTTTAGAATTTAATGCAAGTTGATTCTTGCTTGTTTTTTATTTAGGGTTATCAATATTGTAATTATGAATTCTCATTTTGTTATATTGTAAGACTTTTATTTAAGTATTGCATTTTTATGATATTTAATTATTTAATTTTAAAGAGGCTCGATTCAGTCTCGAGTTTAAGTAGGATGTTTGCTGAATGTTCTCTGAATGTTTGCTGAGTATAGGGGATCAGTACTGTCGACTGAATGTTTGCTGTTTGAAGAAGTTAGCCTCCATGGATACAGTCCTTCACGCAGCTCTCGAACATATATGTTCTCTGGGAATCGCTGGCCTTCCTCTCCCCAAGCTCTGGTCAAAGTTGCAGCCTACGCTCACAAGTGAAGCTTTAACCCTGTGCCCTAAAGTCAAACAAGCATTATGGACCAACCTACTCGACATTCCGGACCTCCAATTCGAATGTAGCGGGATCACGTACGGCCCGCACGAAGATCTCATTCGCTCTGTCATAGATTCTGAACAAATGAATCTGAAAGTCATTGCGCCTGAGCATCTCCGTGATAGCTTCATTGGGATATACGATGCAGATGCATCCGTAACAAAAATTACGTCTCTGCAGCGTCGCGTTTTAGAACGCCTAGCCATTGCAAGGTGCCTTCTTCTCTATCTCTCTAGAGTTCGCCATCTGCACTAGCTTTGTAGTAGAAAAGCTTAGATTGTCTGCAAGAGAAAAGAGATGCTGAAGCAGATTCTTTATTTGTATTTTAGTTGATGAACGTTAGGATTGTGGATTAACTTTAATTGTGTGGGTGTGTGTCTTAGTGTATTCACATGTATTTTGAACTATTTAAAGGGAATGTCTAAACACACCTTATAAGTTTTTGAACCATCATTTGACCCAAACCTTGGTATCCATATCCAATTAAACTTGATTCATTTGCAGAGCTAATGGAATTACACAAAGTGAGCTTGGTAAAGAATTTAGCGTCAGTCAGAAAGACATTTTCTACATATTGAAGAAACTAGAAGGCCGCGGAATGATCGTAAGGCATTCCACAGTTGTGAAGACAAAAGATTTATCCAATGTAGATGAGGCGAAAAGTGCTTCGGTTGTTAACACCAACATGGTCTATTTGTATCGCTATGCAAGGCATCTGGGTGGTCAAAAAAGGCTTGAAATAATCAAAGGAGACAAGTGTTTGGTCGGCATTGAGAGTGGTGGGGGAAATTCTGCAAGCAATGACTGTTTTGCTGAAGAATCAGCTAATGAGGACGTGCACATACGAGATTTTATGCCGGCACTAAAAGCTATCTGTGATAAGCTCTCAAATGCTGAGGGAAAGGTTAGTTCTACTGGTACTCATCAGCATCTGCTTTTATGTCTACAATCTTGCCTTTTCTTATTAACTTATGTTTTTCTGCACTGAAGGTATTGGTTGTCTCAGACATTAAGCGAGAGCTTGGTTACAAAGGAACTGCTGGGCATAGATTGTGGAGAAATGTAACTGTTGCTCGTACTTTATTATAAATTGTTGAATTGTTTCTTTTTACTTACCCCCTTGTTAATTATTCATGCTATCCCATTGTGTGAGATACACTTAGCTTTTCTGCCTGTCCCAAAATTACACTCACTTTCCTAATTTGAACTTCTGTCTTTTTACTTTCCCATTTTATCTTCTATATATCATTTCATTTTACTTTTTGTGGACTTAGATTACCTGAATGTTACTTTTTCTTTCTTTTAGAATGTTACAATTGTAAAACAACAAGTTAACAACTGTTTTTCTTATTATCTTAAAAATTGTGGCCAACCTAAATGTATTTTACACGCTGGGACAGAGGAACTATTTATTATATTGGTACTAAGTTAATAGCAAAGAAAACTGCCAATTGCGCTTTCCTTTAGATTTGCCACAAGTTGAAAGAGGCTAACATGGTGGAGGAGATTTGGGCTAAGGTGGATGGTAAAGCAAAAAAGAAGGTATTCATCTTATACATTGTATTTGAAAATCATTTTACACTTTCTGATTATTCGTTTCGTGTAACATTATAATTTTGGTATATTATTCAAATTCAGTGAGTCCTAAAAAAGTGTAAAGAATCACAGACAAGTGCCTGCAGATTTGACTTCTATGGATTAAATTGTGAATTGTTTAATGTCTAAAAACATGTAGAAGTATGTAAGCTTGAGAGAGGATCATAATGTTTAAGTTAACGATGTAGTTCAGTAGTTCTTATTTCATGGAATCATGTAAATCCACCCCACATCAATGCTCCACGTTGACAACTTACAAAGAGCAGTGCTTTTTATGTACCGGTAATTTGAGATGCTTTATAGATCATCATCATCATCATCACCCTAGTGCCGATGTACACAGTCTTACCCTTGTACTAAAATACAGAGACCGTTTCCGGATGACCCATAATGAAAATCGTGTCGAAAAATTGCATGGACTGATTGCTGCTTCATAACAAAGAAGCACAGACAGTTTAGTGAGCCAATTTGCTTTATTCCATCAATTTCTCAAACCAAAAAATAGTGAGATCTGTATTAACATTTCGATAATAAATAGTCCGATTTCTCTAGGAATTGGATTATGAATGTTTGTCTGATGAACTACATCATCTTATGATGATTAAGAAAAAGAGACTTGGATTGAGAAGAAGCATATATTAACTGATATTGGTGTTGTTAGTATTCTATTTGTTTGTTTACCTTTTCAAAGATGTGCTTTAGCAATCAATTTATTGTTCGCAAATGGATGAATGTAGCTTTGGGCGGTAAACATTGATTTTACAAGATCCTTTATTCCTCAATTTCTTACCATGAACAGGAAGTCAATTGCTTGCACCTTTTGAAGGAGTTTTCACCAAGTCATTTTGAGCCAAAATCTCGTGCACGTGAATGTATAAATCTTTGCAAAGAACAAACAACAAAATTGGCAAGGAAAGGTCAAATAACTGACCAGCTTGTAGAGCTCCCAATTGAGCATCAGATTTTTGATATGGTTGATGCAGAAGGGTCTAGAGGGTTGACATTCACTGAAGTATGTAATGCTTAACTGTTGAATTGAATTTAATCAGGTTTTATATGATGAAGTGTTATACTTCAGTTATGCTGTTTATATTCAATGTGTTTTTGGTGGCAAAAACGTGCACCACCAATTGCTCGTTTCTCAGCATCTGAGATGTTGCAACAGGTTTATAGAAGGCTTGGAATAAACAAGAAGCGGTACTGCGCACGACATGGTAATGAAACATTTTCTAGACTTGGAATGCATCTAGAAGCTGAACGCCCTTATAAAGGTATTTCCTACCGGGCATGGACTTCGCCTGTAGTGGGCATGCACACTGAGGATATAAGCGCACCACTTTCCTGTGATTCTTGTACAGCTACTCGTGAAAATGATATTATAGAGGTTGAACATGAAGTTAATATAATACAGGATGGGAAGTGCAGCTCTACTTTACTCCCTTTGACTAAATCGCAGAACTTAGATCCCCAGACAGAAAATACAGTTCCACATTCCGATTTACAGATAGTGAGCACACAATCAATTCACGTTGTTCCATCAGAGGTATCTACACCTTCCAAAAGCGGATCAGATCATAGGTATCCTTGTCTTACAACGGTTGCTGTTAGTGCACAGAGGGAACAACGGATACTTAAGATGTTGCAGGTCTGTTCACCCATCTACTAATTCTTATTCTTACGTGGTGAATTATAAAGTACTCCCTCTGCCCCCCCAAAAAGCTCCCCTTTTGCCTGGGAATGTTTATTAGGAACGTAACATTACGTGGTTAAAATTTATGCAGAGGAATAAAAAAATATGAAATACGCTATTCATTCATTCCTTACAAAGAAAAAGTAACTTTATTTTGGGAAAAGGATAAAATAAGCCCTTCTACTATTTCCAATCCATCACTTAAGCTCATGCACTAAAAAAAGCATCATATAAGTACGCTTACTTTCAAAAATTGATCAACTTGGCCATTTATTTAGTTTTTTGACCTGTAATAGCAGGTATTTTATATTAAAAAGCTTTAAAGAATGTCAGTCAATATTTTTAAAATTTTAAAATTATTTGTTTATTCTATATCTATTTAAAATTTTTTACAATTTTTTTTTCTACATTTACACTTTATTTTTGCAGTTATATGATTTTTATTATTTTATTTTAATGTTTTAAACTATTTATCTATTTTTACATTTATCCTTTTTTTTATATTAATATTATACTACATATTATTTTTCAAAATTATATAAATTTTTATAAGATTTATCAATAGTTTTATTTAGCTTTTAAAAATAACCTACTATAGCAGGTCAAAATGGCTTGATTGATTATATTTAAAAAGTAAGCATATTTATATGATGCTTTTTTTAGAAGGGCTTAAGTGATGGACTGGAAATAGTAGAAGGGTCAATTTGACCCTTTTCGCTTTTATGTTCGAATGTATTTAAAGGAAAGAAGTATTTTTCAGGGATGAAAGGATTACTAATTTATTGATGTGACATTAATTTGCAATTTCATAATTCCTAGAGTATTGCAACTTCATTGCAAGTTAAGCATTACTAACTATGACTGTAAGATGACTGTCTTTTGTCTTGGTAAGCAATTCATTGTTGATTTCCACTCCTGAAACAACATCCATTTGTTGTCCATTGTCACAATCTCTTACCCTTGAAACTCAATTGACGAATTCTTCACTCTTTCTTTTGATTATCACTGGAGAAATAATGTGTCGAAACCCAATAGGAGCACGAAACCTAAATCTAATGCAAATAGGATTACTATAATACTCCCAAAGCTAGGATTACTATAGTTAAATGTCTCTTTACATTAATATTTTCTACCATTTTGGTCACAAGTAATTTCACGTCAACACTTGAAACTTTTTCCTCAATGGGCAGGATGAGAAGTTCCTTATAAAGCCTGATCTACACAGACGGCTTGATAGTCTTCAGATCAGAGTGATGGACAGGAAGACCTTAGAGCGGTGTCTGAACAAGCTTCAGCAAGAAGGTCATTGCAAATGCATTCATGTTAGTGTTCCTGTTGTCACAAACTGTGGCCGCACCCGTACTACAGAGGTGGTCCTGCATCCATCGCTGTGTACCATATCCCCTGAAGTACTGGGTCAAATTCACGAGAAGCTGAGGTCCTTTGAAACACAAGTCCGTAGTCAATCTCGATTAAAAAAGGTTCAAACAAATCCTATATTGAATGATGTTCAGAGAATTCCAAAAGGCACCAAATTAGACAGCCAAACTGAGAAATTGGAGTTGATGCGGGTTAATGGATATGTAATGGCTAAGATGGTCAGAACAAAGCTTCTTCACATCTACTTGTGGGGTTACATCTCTATTCCACTTGGCTTTGATGATTTTTTGTCATCTTGCAAGCATGGTTATGACATGAAAAATCCACACAGTACTTGTATGTTGATAAACTTAGACGCAGCCATCAAGGCAATGCCGCTTGAATTGTTTTCACAGATTGTGGGCTCTACTCAGAAATTTGAGGATATGATGGAGAAATGTAGGGATGGTTTGTGCCTGCATGATCTTCTTCCGCAGGAGTACAAGTATCTGATGGATTCACGAGCAACAGGGCGGTTGTCATGGCTAATTGACATTTTACGACGGTTAAAGGTATTTTTGGAATCGTATGCACGCTGAAGGCTATTTTAGCTCAATTTGTTCATGAATAAAATCATACACGTGATGTTACACACTGACATGTTAGCTTGCTTAAGATACAATTTTATTTATTTTGACTTATGTAAGTTAATGCTATAATTTTATTTGTTCTCTGGAGATCAGTTCTATTGCAACTCCCTACAAGTCCTGTTTGCCTGTTATGTATCCTTGATGGAGAACAAAAACAACACTAGTGCATCTACAAGTAAAGAACTCTAATTGGAAATCCTTGAACCGATTTCTTTATTTCTATGGATAATTGAATATTGATGTGCAGTTGCATGGTGTCATTTTAAAATACGCCACCACCTTCCAAAAAAATAAATGGAATGTGAAGAGATCATTTAGCAGTGTGATTGATTCATTTGCGCCTTTCTTCCAATGCATAGGCAAAAACATTTGGTACTCTTTGGAAATATGAATTTTCTTGTTTGAAGAATGTTCTATACTTCTATACTTTTTATATGTGTTCAGTCATCATCCATGATTTGCAGGCTGATTTACATTATCAATTTTGTAATTGAACATGGCTTAAACAATTACCTCAACTCATTCACATTTCCTGTTGCATTTAATAACCTTATGATGATGAGTGATGACAGTCTCACAATTTATTTAATTATTCCTTTGTGCGAAGGTTGCGAAAAGAAGGGCATCTGGCATAAAACTTCGGCGACATGTTTTTTGCATGAATTTATAATATTAAAAGTTAATTGACACAATTAAGTTTATGCCAACGCCTCCAACTAGTTGGGATTAAGGTGTCGGGGGGTGATGGCTATGACGATGATGATGAAGAGTTTATGCTGAGTTTCATTGACATGAGAACTGTCCAAATGTTAAAATATCATGTGTAGGAGTGACACAATACAAATTATTATTTTTTTGAATTTTTTTTATTCTTTTTAAAAATGGGTATGAAAACAAATTATAGAGAAAAAGTTAAATGCTGTACTTGTTTATAAAAGTTCGTTAGTTTCATGAAAGTACTTTCATGGATATTTCTCATTTTTCTCTAATGAGCTCTGAATTCTTTGGCAGTTAATCCGCCTTGTTAGCGGTGAAAAAGCAGAAGACAGAGCTGACATCTCTCAGGCAACTCTTACTTATTCATTGGAGATCAGACCTTACATCGAGGAACCTGTCTCTATCGCCGCACCATCTTATGACTATTTTTCATACGATCTTCGCCCTCAAATTAGACATGATTTTGTCCTCTCCAGCAGAAAAGCTGTTGATGAATACTGGAACACCTTAGAGTATTGTTACGCTGCTATCAATCCTAAGGCTGCGGTTTATGCATTTCCTGGATCTGCAGTTCATGAAGTAAGTGATGATGAGTATTTCCCTATTTTTTAAAGTTTTAAAAAGAGTCTTAGTGGCATTTAGCTTTAGCCTTACTTTTAAATAGAAAGTACTTGTATAGGTATAAATAGCTTATGTGAGTGTGAGGACAACACAGTGAGGCTTAAGCCGAGAGGTGCTCTAGATCCATCACACTAACACGCCACAAGGTGTGTGCCACAAATGCCTTTTTAAACCGTGCATATCGGTGAGGTAGGGGGTCGGATGTACGCAGTCTTACCCCTGTACTAAAGCACAAAAAATTGGATGGACTGACTGCTGCTTCATAGAATCATAACAAAGAAGCGCAGACACTTAGGTGAGCCATTTTGCTTTATTCCATCATATTCCCAAACCAAAATATAGTGAGTCTTTGGCTCCATTCGAAATGATGGAAAGTGTGATGTGACTGAAACATGAAAATAATTGCATCTAGATACTTTTTCCATCATTTGCAATGGAGCCAAAGATTCACTATTTTTTGGCTTGAGAATATGATGGAATAATGCAAAATGGCTCACTAAAGTGTCTGCACTTCTTTGTTATGAAGCAGTAAACAATCAATGCAATTTTGGACACGATTTCCACTATGGGTCATCCGGAAACAGTCTCTCTGTGATTTAGTACAGGGGTAAGACTGCGTACATCTGACCCTCCCTTACCCCACCGTAGGTGGGAGCCTTTGCGGCACTGGGGTAATGATGAATGACCCTCTTTCTTGGGCTTAGATTGCTTGACTTTGATATTTTGAACCTTTTCTGAATTTAGAAGTTCTTAGATTTCATATTGATGTCCACTAACAGCTAGACATGATTTATGAACATTTTGTTGTGTATTCCCTTGTTTATCTTGAATCTGCTCCTTGTCTCTTGAATTCTTCTAACCTATCTAAATCTTTCTATTTCTTCTGATTGGAAAAAACTGCATTCAGGTTTTTCTGTCCAGATCATGGGCTTCAGTCAGGGTAATGACATCTGACCAGCGTGCTAAGCTTCTTAAGCGTGTTTATAACGATTGCTCAAAAAGAAAACTCTCCTTCAAGGAGTGTGAAGAGATTGCTAAGGACTTGAATTTGACAATGGAGCAGGTTTTCATACTTTCTTACTCTTGTTTTTTATCAATCAACCCTAGATCACTTGATAATTTAATAATTAAATGGATCCTCATGAATTGTTTTACTATATCTGGGTCCTAGACTTTGCTACTTCCTTGGATTGCTACTGGTTTAACTGGAAGTTGGAGGTGTAGTTACTATTGAGAGAGCTGCTATCATTTTAGTTGTTTATATGGATGCTGATGTTTTGTCTCGATTGGAGTCTTATGACTCTTATCTGATGTTATACAGTTATACCCTTTGCTCACTATCAATTGAAAATTGTTCTTAACAAATATATTTTGATAAAATAGAGGTTGCTGGGGGAGTGTAAGTGTTGATGCCACTTCTTTGATAATCTATTCTTTCTCCCACTATCTCGTAAACTTGGAAACAAAGAAATGAATGTCTCTGATACATGTGCATCTAGCCTCCAACAGCTCTTCTGCAATAGCATGCTATGTGCTTTATTAATCTTTTGACGCACTTTTAAATACTAATAGGTCTTTTGCATTGACAACGTTTGTATCAATTATTGTTCAATGTCAAGGGAAGAGAATTGGTTAAAAAATGATTCTACGACATGATGATTTTATTACTTAAGTTGAGTCTGTGAATCTGTGATGAACCAAGGATCAAATTGGTTGGTGGATAGACAAAAAATTGTGAAAACACACAGACAGCTTTAGCTCAGTAGCTCTGTTAGAACAAGCTAATATACTTATGAATATAGTGTAATATTAGATAAATGAATGGCTGGATGAGCACTCATCATCATCATCCGCAATACCCTACTGCCAAAATGGCTCCCACCTACAGTGGGGTAGGGGGGGGGGGGTCGGATGTACGCAGCCTTACCTCTGTACTAAAGCATAGAGAGACTGTTTCCCGATGACCCATGGTGAAAATCCCGTCGAAAATTGCATGGACTGACTGTTGCTTCGTAACAGGGAAGCACAAACAGTTTAGTGAGCCATTTTGCTTTCTTTCATCATATCCCCAAGCCAAAAAATAGCGAGTCTTTGGCTCCATTGCAAATGGCTGGATGAGCACCGGATGTAAAAAATATGTGATACTCGCAGGTGCTTCGTGTTTCTTTACATAGTTTTCCCTATGAATATGAATATATATATTGTATGCAACTCGCAGGTGCTTCGTGTTTCTTATGATAAAAGAAAACACTCTGTTGACAGAGTTCCGGGGCTTTCAGTGCAAGAAGAGAGTCAAGCCTTCAAGAGTACACTTGCATCTTCAAGGAAAAGAAGAAGATTATCAGGAGCAGGGTCCTCAAAATATGGATATGATGGTGATGATTTAGTGACTGATTTTGACAAAGACATGTCTAATGAGGCACATAATCCTTCCCCAACACCAATGAGTAGTGAGGGCGATGTAGGGAAGGATCAGCGTAATGACTGTATAAGAGCTGTTGAAGAGACAGAATCAAATGAACAGAATGGTGATGATTCTTTCATTCACAGACGTGCTTTATCCAAGCTGAAGCCAACACGCAAGATAAAGTTTTCTTGGACTGAAAGTGCGGATAGGTAATTCTAAATGTGGTATAGTTTCATTGGTTTCAAAAGGCATCGATTTAAAAATGTATAAATTTATTATTTCCCAAGTTTGTTTTTCCAAAGTTGGGAAAACATATATTATAATTGAGCACATAATTGTCTGAAAATGATATGAAGGGATGTTTTAATAAGCAATAAAAATATGCTATGTTTTTCAAGCACAATGCTTTGAAAACGTGTTTTTAGTTCCAAAATGTTGTGGTTTCAAAATGTTTCTGTCATGTAATGTTCCATTACTGTTAAATAGGTGTAAAGCTTATGTAGAAGTGTTCTAAATAAATTCCTTTTATGGACAAGTCTTTTTACGAATAACAGTTTGAAAAGAAAAAAATGGGCCTGTTAGAGAGCATTTTTTAGTACAGAAGTAAAAACCAGAAGTCGCTAAAATCAAGAAGCTACAATCCATACGTTCTTGATTCTAGTGTTTTTGTCATTTTTAGGTTTATCAACACGCTCCGTCAAGCACTTTAGCGGAACTATATTAGAGCATTTCACTTGAAACACAATTTGGCAGCCAAAGCTCTTAGGCAAACACCACATCTAAATGCATTTATTTTTCTCACACCACCTAGTGAATTATTTTCGTTTGCAAACTTGTTAGCTTACAAAGGACTCTTATTTCCTATGTTTCAAGTTATGAAGTGGTGTTGTGATTGCTTATGACTTGGAACTCCCTGTTTAGGCAATTAGTGATTGCATACGTCAAATGTCGAGCAGCACTTGGAGCAAATATTCACCGTGTTGACTGGTCCTCCCTTAAAAATCTTCCTGCACCGCCTGATGCTTGCAAAAGGAGAATGGCATTGTTGAATAGCAATTCAGAATTCAGAAAAGCTCTAATGAAGCTCTCTAATGTGCTCCATGCGCGTTATGTGAAGTACCTTCAGATATTTCAGGATCTATCATTGAGTAACTCTGGCAGCACTTTGGTGTCTCCTGAATCAGAGGAATGTAACAGGAATACTATGGGCAGGATGAATCCAACCACAGGATCTTTCTTTGATGAGGGGTGGGATAACTTTGATGATGACAATGTAAAAGTAGCTCTTGAGGATGCTCTACAACTTAAAAAGAAAGCTAAATTGGAGGCTTCAAAAGAAGTTGAACTTCTTGACGATAAGTGTGCAGATATGAATATCTGTCCTGAAGAACTAGTAAATCACACTTTCTTTGTCGATTGAGTCCCAAATTTGGATAACATGTTTACTTTTAACTGCTACCCTAGTTTGCATTTATTTGCAGCTCAAGTGATTCATTTAAAAAATCTGATCCTGTGTAACTCATCATAGATCCTTTTATTCGTTACTTGCAGTTCCCTCGTGACCAAGATAGTGAGAGTCTTGCATGCAGGAGTAAATTTTCTGGTTTGAAATCGTGCTCCAATCGAATAGCTCAGAAATTTGTTAAGCCTTTAAAGGGCCGAATCACCATTAGTAAACAGGCTCATCAGTCAGTTGCAATCGCTAATGCTCTAGAGCTGTTTAAGCTCATCTTCCTTAGCACTTCTAAATCGCCAATGGTGCCAAGTCTGCTAGCTGAAACTTTAAGGCGTTACTCTGAGCATGACCTGTTCTCAGCCTTCAACTACCTCAGAGAGAAGAAAATTATGGTAAAATGTACCATTTTTTTTACTGACATGACTTTTAACAGTCTGCCTGTATTTACTGTTAATAAGCTTCAAAACATGCATTTCCTTCAAATTTTTCAGATTGGTGGCAGTGCCAATAGTCCTTTTGTTCTTTCTCAACACTTCTTGCATTGCATCTCCTTGTCTCCATTTCCAATCAACACCGGAAAACGAGCTGCTAAAATTGCCGAATTGCTATGTGAGAGTGAGAAGGAACTAATGGATGAGGGGGTCTCTCCTCCTGCTGTTTTGGAGTGTGGCGATGTTTTCCATATATGTGGTATGATTGCTTCGGGAGAGCTTTCAATTACACCTTGCTTGCCAGATGAGGGTGTTGGAGAGGCTGAGGATTCAAGGGTTTCTTCTAAAAGGAAATCCAATGATAGTGAGATTGATGATGGAGAGAGCTCTAAAAAAGTTAAAACTTCATTGACCGTTGAAGGCGAGCTTATCTCCCGTAAAGCAAAAGGATTTCCAGGCATCCATTTATGGTTAAGACGGGCAAAATTTTCAAGGCTTGAAATTTTGGAATCATTTAAAGAAGAGGTGAAGACTGCATCCATCCTATCCTCCATAGAGCATCAGATTGTTCCATTTTCAAATGTAAATGCTCACAATATTGCATCTGAGACCCCCCATCGTTCTGCAGTTCTTTCTACCGAGTCGCCTTGGGATGCCATGACAAGTTATGCAGAACATGTTTGGTCATGTGGTTCTGTGTTAGAAGAAAGCAATGTGTTTCATCCTGATATGTTTAGGTCTGTTTACGCCACCATTCAGAAGGCTGGTGACCAAGGTTTGAGCATGGGAGAGATCTCCATGGCAGTGAACTTGCAAGGTAGGCACTTCTAGCGTTATTTGTTTAACATATCTGAAGTTGGACAAAATAAAATAATAAATGAGAAGTGACTGTCATGACTTATGATAATGAGTGAATCGTTGTGTCTTAAATCTTATTAGGGGAAAAGAATGTAGAGACTCTTGTTGGGGTGCTTGAAGCCTTCGGAAGAGTTTTGAAGGTTTGTCTTTGTTGAATATCAGCCAGCCTTAGCACACATATCAACTTACCTCAACGCACATTTAGCACACATTACAAGACTGTTTTTTTGGCTTCTTAGTATACTTATATATCTAGGCTTAAGCATAAAATACATTACACGCGTTGATATCAAACAAAAGCTTTCCATTTGGACTTAGTAGACAAACAAAGGACTTACCAAAATTTGTATCCTGATTTATATTTCATGTTTTAAATATTTTGTTGTTTCTTTAATTTTAGTTTCACATTTGTACAGTACCAAGGCAAATTTTGAGCTTGAACCCCATTTTTCAAATTTTTGATATTCGCATTTGCAGGTAAAGAAATTGTTAACTGGGTTTAAATGCGGTGCGTACTCTAATTTGGAACAATCATTTGGGGCGCATTCTCAAACAACAGTAACATCAGGGTGCAAATTCAAAATGCAAAAAAGTGGGGCGCAAACCTAATTTTCCAAATATAAAACATGCTTGTTAAGTCTATTTTGTATATAAATGTATATTATTTATCACATATTTTGTTTACTACGTAGTATTATTTTGTATTTTTTTGATCCTGGCCTTGTGTGTTTACTTCTAGTATTCAACTATTCATATAGTTTCCCAGTATATGGATTTTATTTTTTGTTGATACTTCATATATTATAATGAAAAGTTGAATTGAAATGTTAGTTTCTTGTTTTACTAACTGGAAGGAAAACTGTAGAATGGGAAACAAAAAACACGATTCTATTCCTATAGTAGGATAGGGACGAGCTAGTTCATTTTGTAGTCAGTGACATATGGCATGCACATTTCTTGTGGTTGTACTTCCTGGTTAAGTATAGAAATGCATCATTAGAGGAACATTTTATTTACTCCCTCCGTCCCCTTTTAAATGTCCCGGAAGAGGGTGGCACGAGTTTTAAGAAAAGTAGGTTTGTGTGGTTGATATTAATAGATAAAGTAAGAATAAAGTAAGAATGATTTTGAGCCACACAAACTTTACCAAATAAGGTATGTGACAATTAAATAGGGACATCCCAATATGGTAAAATGGGACATTTAAAAGGGGACGGAGGGAGTATTTATTTATTCTTATTCCTTTTTCTCCCTTTTCTTTATGGGCTGTCAATGCAGGTCAATGCTTATGATTTAGTCCATGTGGTTGATTCTTTATATCGATCCAAGTACTTCATAACCTCTTCTACAGCAGCCATGTCTGGCAACCTGATTGATGCAATTGATGAGAAGTCGTTAACACACAATAATGGCGATTACGGAAATGGTGGTGTTCACTTGCAGAAGGAAATTAGTGCAAGTTCTAGTGAGGTGCACAGAGTCACTATTCTTAATCTTCATGAAGAGGTGGCTGAACCTCTGAATGGAACCAAAACTGGTTATCACACTGCAGGAGTCTTGAATTTGGAAGTTACAACTCCAACCAAAAATAATGTTCATACCATATCCGAAGGCCATTCTGTTGCTTCTCAAACATGCAGGCCAATATTGCCTTGGGTAAATGGTGATGGAACTGTCAATGAACTTGTCTACAAGGGACTAGTACGCCGCGTTCTGGGTGTTGTGATGCAAAATCCTGGGATACTTGAGGTATGCTCAATTACATTTGATTGCATTAAATTTCCATATCTGAGGAGGCGAGGACAAAACTAAAATATGAAATTGGCCAATTCGGAAATTGGAATTGAAACCGGGTTTGGTGTATAAGTGCTTATTTGGTGGTAGGTTTTTTTTTTTTGCGTATCAGCCATAGTTAATGTTTACAAAAAACAAATAAAAAGTGATTGAAATGTTATACAACCACATATTAAGTTAATCCTTTAAACTTTTATAAGATCTCAAACACAAACGCACAGAAATATGTATACACACTCACTCATATAATATGTGTTGTTTGTGTATTCATACCAAGATATATGGTAAGCCTTTAAACCCCCCATCCAAACAGAGCCTAACTATTTCAATGCGCTGGCTGATTCAGTCAATAATGAAAAATGTAGTGCATAAGTTATTCTGGAGGTTGGTAGATAAGATTAACTAAAATGGCCCTTCAACTTTCGTTTTATGCTATAAATTTTTCTGTTTTTGTTTAAAATACCCCATTTACTTTGACAATTTAGCAGATTTAACCATCTTAGCCACAATTGCAACAGAATCAGCCTTAATAAAGTTAACCAAATGCACTCCCAAAGCCCGTTGGGTAATACTAAATTGGCTGAAGCAGTAGTTGGTGAAATGATGTTCTATATTGAATATTAAATTGTGTAGTTTTAATGTCCCACAAACATTTATATTTCGGATTCACTTCACATTATCTGAAAACTGTTTAACTAGTGTGTCTAATATTGAATATTGTTTGATATTTTACACAATGGAGTACTAATTATTTAATAAAGATAAATTAACATTGTAAAACTAGGATTTTTTGTAGAATAAGTATCCTAAGATTTAAATCAATGAGTTGTTCTATTGTTTATTTGTCCAAGTAATGGTAAATTATTTTAGACTTTCCCTTTAACATCGCATGTTAAATACTATGTTAATTTTGAGAACTAAAAGCTAAGGGGGGCGAGTCCGGCGAACACGTGTATATCTAATCACAGTGAATATTTTATGAAAATATTACATGTATAATAGAAAAATTTGAAAATCCAAGGGGAGTCGCCCCCCCAATCCATCTTTGGACATAACGTAATCTTCACTTTTGAGATTAAGGTGGCTCTGTTTGTTGTGCTATAGTTAATTCTAGGAGACTAGGAGTGGTTATGGACTTATTGATTTGGTAACTATTTGCTAATAGCTTCATTACAGAAGTGTGAATCAGACATTAAAGTTGAGGATACCTATTTGTGCATTGGAATCTCTAAGTTGTCTATTTATTAACAGTTAACACCAATCTAAATTGTTTGATTGACTGGTTGGACTCTTCCCTCAGATTTAAAACATGATTGACAAATCTTGTGATGTGATGCCTAAATCAGGCGCACGATCAATAGTTAGAAGACCGTTTATGGTTGATGTTATAGTTGAAGACCAAAATTTGGAAACATCAGTAGCTAAGGAACTATTTCTAGTATTATGGCTATAATTTCCCTACAAATTACTATTATCAGTTCCGTATTTTTAATGAATGACTTGGGGAAAAAACACGTTTCAACCATAAATAATGATTTATCATGAAAGAAAATTGCAATACAGTTGCTTCTCTTTTTCCACTGTATATTTGTTTCCCTTTGAATAATTGAGTTTGTTTTTCCATGTCACAGGATGATATTATAAGCCACATGCATGTTTTGAATCCTCAGGTAAGCAACTTGTCGCATATAGTGCATGCATTCATGCTATATTACATTGCATATAGAGCCTGTTTGGTAGTCCTCAGTTTTAGCTGATGAGCCAATTTGTTGTGAGACTAATTTCATTGCATTAGGCTGAAAGCAGATAATGGGAAAATGTAATGCATGAGTTACTTCTTAGGGGGGAATGAGACAAAATGGTACTCACATCTTTGTTTTCGATATTATATGTTAGACGCACTAATAATTGGTAAACAACTTCAGTATTATTAACAATGGAGATTGAGGAATTCTCAATACTCCAGAAGGATTACAGGGAAGATACGAGAATAACAACCCAATCTAGAGAAAGAACGGGGAGTTTCTCTCTCTAGCCAAAGCCCAACCACTTCTAACAGAATACCAGCCTAACTTTATTAACCTTCACGCTCCTATTTATATCTTCCAGTACTCATCATTCACTTTATTAACTCCCGACCCTTTTTCCCTTCCTTGCAAACACCTTATTATAATACTCCACACCCCTTGGCCTATCATTATACTCCACACCCCTTGGCCTATCATTACCCTCCCCTTGAACTACCACCTTGTCTCCAAGGTGGAATGTTGATAATTGCTTCTGAAACTTGGTCAACTCTTCCCAAGAATTCTCAAAATCTGGAAGTTGCTTCCACTGTACTAGCACTTCTTTGACTCCGTTAGCCGTTGTCCTGTAATCGACCACCTTCTCTGGCTGAACCTGTAGCTCCCATTCCTCTGAAATGCAAGTAGGAAGAGGCTGGCAAGGCAGGTTAGGTGACACTGCCTTCTTGAGCAGGGAGATGTGGAACACCGGGTGCACAGTACAACCCTCAGGTAGTTTCAGTTTGAAAGCTACTGGTTTTATTTTCTCCAACACTTCAAAAGGTCCATAGAACCGAGGACTTAGTTTTTGATTTATCCTTTTAGCTAAACTCTTCATCTTGTAAGGTTGAATCTTCAAGAACACATTGTTCCCCACCTCCACTTGTAATGGCCTTCTGTGCTTATCAGCTTGTTGTTTCATTCTATTTTTGAGCCACAGCTAAGCTCTGCTCCAATTCTTCCAACATAAGATTTCTCTCTGCAGTCAACTTGTTGACTTCCTCCACTGCTGTGACAGTTACATCACCCTTGATAATAGCTGGGGATCTTGTCCATAAAGAGCTTTGTATGGGGTAATCTTCAGTGCAATATGGTAATTGGTGTTATACCAATACTCAGCCCACAGAAGCCATTTCGGCCATTGTTTAGGTTTCATTCCAGTGACACACCTCAAATAAGTCTCCAAGCACCGGTTGACCACCTCGGTTTGACCATCCGTTTGCGGATAGTAAGCTGTACTATATTTCAGTTTTGTGCCAGCCATCTTGAACATTTCAGACCAAAAAGATCTCAAAAAAATCTCATCTCTGTCTGAGACTGGATTTAGGGAATCCATGAAGTCTTACCACTTCCTGTATAAAAGTTTCTGCCACCTCTTTGGCTGTATAAGGGTGGGCAAGGGCTATAGAGTGGGCGTATTTAGTGAGCCTGTCCACCACCACCAAAATAGTATCCTTTCCTTGAGCTCGAGGAAGGCCCCCAATGAAATCCATGCTGATTTCAGTCCATATATGTTCTGGAATTGGTAAGGGTTGTAACAGCCCAGTGATAGACACTGGTAAATCCAACTCACAATTACAGTAGAATCAATGAGAAGATAACAAGAAGCAAGATCAATATGAAGTTTATTGATGAAGAAGAAAAGTATGGAACGTATATAAGCACAGGACTATTCAAGATGCCTAGTCTCCAAGCCTAGCCAAATTCAACTGAATATTTCCCTACTTCTCCTTTCCCCCCTTCCTTACTATTTATAGTACTTCTATTTCTATTACAAGCCCACTTATTATTATCTACAATAATAGGCCCACTTATTATTATCTCTAATAATAGGCCCATTCTTATCAATACTCCCCCCCTAAACAACCACCTTGTCCTCAAGGTGGGGAGTAATAAACAGGCATGCTATTCAACTTCATCTTGGCACCTCTCCCTTCCCAACATTTCCTGGATTTCTGAGCTAAGAGCTCCACTTCTTGAACATTCACCCTCACTTCCCCTTGCATATGGATTAGTTGCTGACGAACTGGTGAGGCAACTTTGACCAGGTCAAGGGGTGTTGGTGGCTGGTCTTGACAGAAGTTAAACAAAGTCCATGTAGTGTAACTAGTGTTTCTCATCATAGAAGCTTTTCAGGCTCATTCAACTGTCCTAAAGATGGTAAGAGTGAATCATGACCAATACCCAGGTCCTTACAGGTTGAATCATCACCAGCAGAACCAAATAATGTTGTAGATGATGCAAGAGCTGCATGCCTTGCTTCCGTACGAACCTGCCATTTGCCTCTCAAACAACTTTCACTAATTCCAGTAACACTCCAGAAATCCATGGCCAGTTTATGCATAATATCAAGCTCAGTAGATGCATTGTTTTCATCTTCAAAGGAAACCTGTCCAATAAGATCAATGGCTTTTGCGGCCCCACACAATCTTCCCCTCTCACAATCCCTGCGTAATAGACTTGGAATCATACTGGCTGAATCAATATCAGTTGATAATACAGTTCTATCTGAGGTTTTAAGATCTGCAGTTATCAGATCAACAACTAACAAACTGCCACCAACCAATACACATGTCACTATATTGGCTACAGCCTTCATCAATACCTCGTTTAGGCCCTGAGCAGCTTCAACAACTGTCTCTTTGAGCAAAGCAGGCTTTGAAAGTGAGCTGGCATCGGCCTCAACATTTGCTGCGCCTTCCGGATTATCTGGTGGTCGTCCCGTGGGTTGAATATCATCATCCTTCATCTCCATAAACGTGTAATGAATGTCATAGATAGCAGAGAATGTGGTACTGGTAATCAACTCCTTAGAACATTTACCATTAGGAGGAACTCCAGGAGCAGCTTGCCCCGACTTCAGAGAAACAGTTGCAAGTTTGAATGTACCAATTCCTGTCCTGGCTAGGAAGGATTGTGATTGATACATTAAGGGATAGAGCCCAGTTGGAAAGACAAAAACATCAGGCCCAGTAGTCATCACAGCCTGATCTGATTTTCACGCCAGTGCTTGAATCATCCTTCCCTGAGTTTTATCTGTGACTTTTCCCTGCTCCTCCAGTTTCCTTGACAGCTGATACTTCACTTTACCCGCATGAATTCCATTTTCATCCACCTCAGGGGTTTTTGTACCTTCATGATGATTTGGATCATCATCTGGATCTGATTCCTTGATAGTTGGTTCAGTTGGCTTCAACTCAGAGTTCATTTTCAGTGATGCAATCCCTGGCAAGGAAACTTGAGCACTATGATGCTCGGAAACCTGAGATGAAATCTGCGAGCAAGGGCGATCGATTTGCGAACTGGAAAAAACTGATAACGGCGAAGTCTGTGAACTATGAGGAGCGGCTAGAGAAGACCCCTTCGAACTGGAAATATATGATAGCGTTGAACTCTGGGACAGATGAAACGATGTCAGCGACTGAGACAACATCTGAGAACTAGAAACTACTGTTCGCGATGAAACTGAAGTCGTGTGCGATGACATCTGCGAACAAAAAGCTTCTCCTCTTGATCACATCGGACTTGGTCGTGAACTGCTGGCGGATGATGAAGTTCGTGATTTCGAACTGTGAGAAGAAATCAACTCAGGTTGAAATCTACGAATGATAGATTTCTTCAGTGTCCCAATTAGTTTCTTCAGTCCGATTCTCCCACAAATGAAACCAATTCAAAGCCCTATCTTCCATAGCAACCATAGAAGCTTCAACCTTCTCTTCCTCTTCAATGTCATTTAATCGAAAATACCTCTCCATTTGTATAATCCAGTTATAGGCTCCTTCATCGTTAAACAAAGGTAAATCTACCTTTTTTCCCATCAGAATAGGTCTTCTACTGCTATCGCGACCCAGACTAGAGAGTCTGGAGCGACACTGATAGGAATTACCTTCTGCCCCTTCCGATTTTCTCCAGGTTTGAAGCTGTTCATTTAACGCCGCCCTGGATGCAGCGAGGTTCTTCATCGCGGATTTCATCTCCAGGTTCGTACGCTTCTCCAGGTTCGAACGCTTCTCCAGATGTCCGTGCGAACCAAAGGCCTCCAGTTCTGTTCGTCGCTGTTCTCTTCTCTGCTCAGCGATCGTTCGTTCGTGTCTCAGCATCGCGAATCACTAATTGTCCTCTTCCGCTACGGAGATGTGACGATCAATGAAGACGCCAGGAGAGTGCTCTGATACCAATGATAGACACTGGTAAATCCAACTCACAATTACAGTAGAATCAATGAGAAGATAACAAGAAGCAAAATCAATATGAAGTTTATTGATGAAGAAGAAAAGTATGGAAGTATGGAACGTATATAAGCACAGGACTATTCAAGATGCCCAGTCTCCAAGCCTAGCCAAATTCAACTGAATATTTGCCTACTTCTCCTTTCCCCCCTTCCTTACTATTTATAGTACCTCTATTTCTATTACAAGCCCACTTATTATTATCTACAATAATAGGCCCACTTATTATTATCTCTAATAATAGGCCCATTCCTATCACCCAGCAGGACTCAAGGTTTGATATTTGTTTCGTTGACATACTTCACATCCCTGCACATACTCCTGTATGTCAGTTCGCATGCCAATCCAATAGAAGAAAGCTGAAATCTTTTTCATATTGAATCATGGAACCCCTTCAATATTATGGGTATCCTAAGGGACTGCCTGGGAAGCACCAACCTTTCTTTGTAATACAATAGTCCATTTCTGAATTTGAACCCTGATAAGCTGTCTGGTTTACCCATTATTGTCTGAATGATATCATGATATCTGGGATCAGCCCTTAGTTCTTTCTCCAAGCCCTCCCATTCCTGGCAAGTGACAATGGATAAACTAAGCAATTCCCCTTTTCTGGACAAGGCATCTGCTGCCTTATTCTCACAGCCCGGCTTATATTTA